GATCTATTAGTGACGAGTTGTCGATACGATAGTAAAGCGGCACAAATACCATGTCGTGAAGGTTGTCGCCCACCGGGAGGTCCGCCACCACCGGTATGTTCAACGATTGCAAGTGATCTCTGGGACCAATTCCCGATAACATTAACACTTGTGGTGAATTTATTGGGCCTTTGAGTTGTAGATAATTTTCAAATTAATTAATTAAAAGTATTTTTAATCTTAAGTTAAACTAATTATAAGTTTGATTACTATTTGATACCTGAGCTGACAATGACCTCGCGATTGGCGACAGCGACCACATCGTCGACACCATTTCTACTATAAACCACACCATAAGCTCTGGGAGTATTGGCCGACGAGTTATCAATCAGTATTTTGCGGACATGAGCTCTGGTGAGAACACGAAGATTAGTGCGATTATAGCGTTCAATGTATGCGTTGGCTGTCGTCGACTTAATACCGGTGCTGTTGTTCCAAAACATCTGCGCTATTGTCGTCCCTAACAGTCGTGTCGTAACAAAATATTTCGCAAAATATAATAGATTTTCATTGAATATACGGGTATTTGTGATGCAATTGATTACCAAACTGTTGTTCGCCATTAATGTCGAGAATAGGTATACCGAGACTATTAGCCGCCTCTATGAAGGACACGACCACCGGATCGGGAATGGTTTCGGTCGACACATGGATAGGACCGCCGGTGTTATGATAGGCTGTGTTGGCGGCGACGGAGGCGTCCGTATTGTTTTCTGACATTAAAAAGTACGGCAAAACATTGTCATACGTCCAGTCCGTCAGACCGTAACTCTGCGCCCAATTGTCATAATCGCGACGATTGCCTCTGTTATAGATATCCCAATTGGTGACCGACGACCCGCCCAACACTTTGCCTACCGGTGCCGCACAATGTGGTCAACAACATAGACATTAAAATCAATTATAGATCTAATTCAATAGAGTATTACCTCTGGAGATGAAGAAGTTGGGATAAGCGAGTCCGGCACTGGTCTGTGTCTGCTGCACCATCAAGGTCAGTTTAAGGGGCGGGTGATCTTTGTCCCATAAAGGCCCGTATAGTCACTAGTGTGAGACCCCAGGCGGGCGGAGGTCTTCGTTGTGTAAATACCGGCCTAAAACACGGTATCGTGAGGCGACAACACATCCAGCGGTTCCCCCGCCAACCACTATGTAGTCATATTGGGTGCCATTGACCGGTGTCTGACCACTTCCGTAGTAGTTGTGCTGTATCTGTCCAACATTACACTAATACCTATGCCAATCGTCAACATTGCTATCTGACCGGTAACAAATCGTGAAAACACCGTTAATAATATGAAAATAACATAAATAAATAACTAAATATGTAAAATATTAATAAAACTATTTCAATATTTGGTATAAAACCCGCATTTTATTAGAAAAAACAATAAAGTCTGAAATGTCTAGTCATTTATACTAATGTTATGTCTATTTTAAACAGGTTTTATCATTGGATGTTAAATTAAAATTTAATTTCTATGTTGTCTCTAAACTACTGTACTTTTAATCTTTCAAATTTAGTTTTAACTATAGATTATATTATAAAATTATTTGACGTATGTATTTTTGTTAAATTTTTTCTATGTTTTACTATTTTAATTTATTTTATATTATTGTAATAATTCTCATTATTGTACAAATTTTAATAGTGATTTAAAAATACTATAAATCAAACATGTAATACAATGTTTAATATAGTTATGTATTAAACAACTTGGTTCATTTATACTAATGTTAAGTGTTTAACAATAAGACATTTATTAAAAGATTATTATATCCTTAAATAGAAAATGCAGAATAAGGTGAAAATTGCACACAATTTCTTGACGTAAATTACCAGTAATTTAATAATGAATGAGTGCTTAATAATTGATAACTGAATCGCTTTTCAAATCTGTATTTTCTCACAACACATGACAAATGTATTTCAAATTCATTTAATTGTAAACCGGTTTAGACTAACCAGTGGTCAAAAATCACACCGACTTATCATTTAATTGCTTTTTGAATTAAAATGTGACCCAAAAGTCAGTCCCGATTATCATTTATTAGTACTGATAAGGCCTTATAATATCATAGGGTTTATAAACACTGTGAAAATCATATACAGTACAGTATGGGATAGTCAGTACAGTATTGTGCGAATGGAAAGGTTTAATTAATTATTTTAAGTCAATAAGACTAATGTACTGTTTATACAAATATTTATTAAATAGTTTTGTTGTTTAAATGAATTGTGTTTTATTAGTTTATTCGCACTAATAAGTTGATGGCATAACTTCTACCATATAGTGTATAGGGATTTGATTTTTAAATCATAAATTTATCTATTATTTAGTTTGATTGATGTTATCAATTGATGAGTGATTAGTATTAAGACAATTCAATATAATTAGGGATTTTATGAATTATAGACATGTATTGATTGCCACTAAATCTGGTATTTCACAGATCTTATGAAAACATTGGTTGAGATTATTATTGAACTCAGAATATATGGATGTTTAAATTTTTCGCAAATAATAACTTTATATGAATAATTAAGGTTAGTTAATACTTTACATTCAAATGATTTTTTAATTACAAAAAAACTTAACCAATAAATTTATAATATGTAAATTAATACCAAACATATGGCACATAACTTATGGACTCATTTGTAGTTAATAATCCCACCTTATTAATCCATTGAAAATACTGAACAGTGTTGTGGTTTAACATAAAATATAAATATAACAATTAAATTTTTCGGACATAAAAGGTTGGGATCATTAATAACTATGGTTCTGACTTAACATAAATGTAATTATGAATTGAAATGGTTAACTAACACTATAGTTACCTATAGTATTCGTTTCACATGCCCTCCACTCGCATAGCAATACACAATTGTCTCCGATATGATACCATAAATATTTTTATGTTAAGTTTGTATGTAAATCACAATCTGAAGTTAGCGGCCAGCTCATAAGTTCGTTACTTACGCTCTCGTTTCTGAATTACTTTTATGTAAGTCACAAAATATTCAAAACAAACTTATAATAACCGATAATTACTGTTGTTTTGTTGGTTAATAATAACCAAAAGTGTCGCTCATTTTTCCGTCACAAAAGACATTATCATTGAAGACAATGACCACCGGAGACGAGTGCCATCAGTGGACACCAGTCCTGCTGGAAGTGGTTGACTGTCAACGACATGCGAGTTATGTGATCGACAAAACATTTCTCGAGGAGTCGACCGCAACGGTTAGCCCTCCGGCCGAAGACATCCCGGATGTACCCAAACGACTGACACGAATGGCCCGCTTTGCCCGTAAAGTGCGGATATTATTGGCCGTAATTTTGCCCAAAAAACAGCCAAAAACACTGCGATATTCGTTGAGATAAATGTGTGTTTTTTCTTGTTATTAAAATGAGAATAAAACTTATATAACGATCAATTATAATACAATTATATTTTTTATATGTCTTAATTTGTGCTCAATTTTTAACACCACTTTAAGTGATGAATCTCTATATTGTTTGTCTTTTTCACTGAATTACTTAAATATTTTCAATGGTATTTATAAAAATACAATTCAAACATACATTTAGTGTTAGACTTCAATCGCCGGTCGAGTATTCAAGCAATGAATGCGAGAGCAAAGACTTAATGAAAATACATTCAGTGTTTTATAAGTTTTATAACTTATAATATCCAATAATTACTGTTGTTTTGTTGGTTAATAATAACCAAAAGTGTCACTCATTTTTCCGTCACAAAAGACATTATCATTGAAGACAATGACCACCGAAGACGAGTGCCATCAGTGGACACCAGTCCTGCTGGAAGTGGTTGACTGTCAACGACGTGCGAGTTATGTGATCGACAAAACATTTCTCGAGGAGTCGACCGCAACGGTTAGCCCACCGGCCGAAGAGCCCCCGGAAGTACCCAAACGACTGACACGAATGGCCCGCTTTGCCCGTAAAGTGCGGATATTATTGGCCATAATTTTGCCCAAAAAACAGCCAAAAACACTGCGATATTCGTTGAGATAAATGTGTGTTTTTTTCTTGTTATTAAAATGGGAATAAAACTTATACATCGTTATTGTATAACGATCAATTATAATACAATTATATTTTTTATATGTCTTAATTTGTGCTCAATTTTTAACACCACTTTAAGTGATGAATCTCTATATTGTTTGTCTTTTTCACTGAATTACTTAAATATTTTCAATAAATAATCATTTGTATAATAATTATGCTTAATTTTTTGATTATATTATAAGTATTTAATTGTTTTATGAATACAAATACAGTATTTAATAAATTGAGGAATTGTTAAAAAATAGTTGAGAAAAATTATAATTAGTAGAAATTTTGTACCAAAAACTTATCTCTATTTACTATAAGAATGTATTGTTTAACCTTATAATGTGAACCGAAAATAGTGTACTTTATAAATTATAAACTAGTATTTTCCGACCCTACAACCAAGGTTGATTAGTAAATCACAAAACTAATGTTATAACTTATAATACATGTATGGCATTGATGTTGTAGTAACTGCTAATGAATTTCAATACAAATTCAAAATCATATCAAAAGTCATATGTTTTGAATGGCAAAAAGTGGAGTTTTATCAAGTTTTCACTGTTTGTGATTATACTGAACATCCGCTCAACTATTTTATTCATAAGTGTTTACATTTTCTCTAATAAAATACAGGAATATATCAGATATTTCTTAATATGAATTGTTTGTAATAACAAAACTATAAACATTTTTATTGATAATCAATTAACAATAATAAGTTATTGTTAAACAAAGTACAGTAATAACAAATAATAAACATCTAAATGCAATATAAATGCTTTATAATAATCTCATAATTTATTAAATAAAGAGAAATACATAACAAATTATTAATCATTATTATAAAATAAAACAATATTTTAAATATTAAATTATTATTTATTAGCAACTTGGTAGATTATCAATGGTCAGATTTAGTTTATTTTCAACACAGATTTAATGCAAGTCTGTAATAAAGAATTTACATTTACAAATTACATTGGTTAATAAAGATATTCGAATGATGATCAAAATGAATGATAACTTACAATATATTTGTCTCCCATATTGCAAAACTTTTTACATTCTTCTGACTTAACGCTATCAAACTTCTTCACCCAATTATCAACAATACAAGCCTTTTGTGTCCCGCAAAGTGACAAAACCTTTTGCCGATCCGTTAACTCCTTAACATTTAGACATTGTTTAAGCAATTCATCCCTCTGTTTATGTTTATGTAATTAAAATTAATTTAATTAATTATATTTTAAAGACAGTTTGATATATGATTTAGTATACAGTAGTGGTATTATTAGAGCCGCATTTGGTCTCGAGTTGTGCCAACTGGTCGTCACTGATCTGTTGTTTATCATTACATAAGACCTCTGCGATGCCATCAAACCGTTTCTTAATGTCAGACTTAGTATCTTCTCCGCCATAAGCCGTACTTAAGGCACAAATCAATACTAGAGTTATTGTGAACTTCATTTCTATCGACAATTGTCTAACAAATAGTATTGATGTCAGGAATTAATGGTTATATTTATCTCTAAAGTATAATGATTTTATTTACAGATATTTATAGCAAAATATATGTTATGCATATTATTATGATATTTTTTGTTCAATTATTACTAATAATTTATTAGTATTTGTTTAAAGATTTTTAGTATTTATTAATTTTAATGTTATGTTTTGTTGTGTGAGAATCAATCAATCCTTTAGTTTTCAGAATATCTGTTTAAACATGAGATAAATTATTGATTGATTTGACAGATCATTGTTTGGCATTTATTTATCATAATTTCGATTATATGTTTACACAATTGTATTATTATATAAAATATTTTTTCATAAGTGAAATAAATGTCAAAAATATAAATCATTACTTTTAATACCCATTATTAATATTTATGAAATCAAATAAATTATAACAAAAATAATGACATCAAGTAGTAAAAGGTTTTTGGCATATCAATTAAAATCTGTACTTTTATTTTCATTTAAACATTTAAATAAATATTGTATATAAAAGTAAAAGTAAAAATTATAGTTTTTTTTTGTAATTAACAGTTACTGAGACTGAAAGCATAAATAAGACGACAGGAATTGTATGGATAATAATTATTGTAACCATTGGTTGCGTCAGAAGTACCCAAAACAATGGCGACATAAGAATCTGCACATTTATTTAGAGTTTAGTTTTGTTAATACTTGGTAATAAAACTGAATATTTGGAATATGTATATTTACACTTAATTCTAAACAATTAGTTAGCAATTAATTAAAACCAAGATTAAATTGAAATATTTTATTTATTTAATAAATTAATTAGTATTGTAATAAAGTTGACGCAATATAAGTGATTATATTAAGCATATATTCTCAATCTTTCAGTTCATTTTTAATGCAATCCTAAATCATGTGATAAAGACATTAGAATTTAATATTTTAATTAACAATTAAACAATTCTTACGACAAGTTGTTGTTTCAAAGCCGTTGAATCGCTGCCGGAATCCAATACTGAATCAAATAATGGCTTTTGTTTAATACAGGAAAATATTTTTGCATCACAAAAAGCGTTCAATAGATCTCTCTGTGACTCAATCTTAGCGTTAGTGCAGCTGAGGATCGGGTCGTTGTGGTGATCGTCCGGATAGCTGTCGTCGTCTCTCTAGATATTAAGTATTGTTTTTATTAATGTTTACTTAAAATACAATTATTAAATATATTTACTTTATGTAAGCCATAACTGAGGCTATGTCTGTCGTCAACACATTTCTTGTGAATTGCGGCCAATTTTTGGTCAGAAATTTGGACCCGATTTCCGATCACATCATAACAGAGGAGATCATACATACGAGTCCACCACTGCTCGTCTCCGTTGCATACATTCATAGCTATTACTAATACTAATAATAATTTTATTGACATTTTATTTGTTATTTTTATTTAAGTTATAAAATTTCAAACAATGATTTATTTGCAATGCACTCCTTTTATAGGACAATAAATTATACGGTAATAAAAGTAAATTAAACGGAAAATTATTTATAATATATGGGTATTTAATACCCTTATACAATATTTTTTGTCTAATGTATATTTTATGAAAATGATTACTGTACGATCCTATTACCACATTCTTCATAAATGAATTATGGTTAAAAATAATCTTATTATTATATTAACTTTATTTGTATGATTATTAATTTTTATAATTTTTAACAACAATTCTCATATGAAGTAAGTAGTTTATAGAATCTCGACCCTATCCCTCCCCCACCCTATGGGGTTTAACATGGGATTCCATGTTAATCCTATGACATTGCGACTTTCCATAGAATATATTGTCACGGATAAAACTGCTCTCAATTAAATATAATAAATTACGTTTAGATTTTAGTTAAACTAGCTGATTTTGGCGCTACTCTCATATACCGAGCAGCAGTTTTACCGCTTTCCCGTTAATAGTTCGTTATAGACCGGTCAAATTCTAATAATTATCTTAAACTTAAACTAAACCTGTTCTTATAAATCTAACTGATTTTATATTAATAGTTTAAAACAATAAAAGATTAAGCATTTATTACACAACAACCAACTGTTATTTAAATAGATAAAAACATTAAATACAATACCGACAGATGGTTAAAATCGGATGATGATTTTGAAAGATATTATAACTCGACGTGACTTACGAGTGGTTACCGGCTTTACCGATAAATCAGTAAATGCTATAACGAATCCCGTTATCCCGACTCCAATAAGTCTGTACAACAGTTTATAATAAAGAATAAATAAAATAGTAGTGAAGAGTGGGGTATATTGGATGTGAGTGCCGATATAAATAACACTTATATCACGGATAGCAGCACAAAATAAGACTGAAACTAAACCTATAAAGAACTCTCAAATATCTGTAAAAATGGTTAAATAAAAGTAAAGATCTAACTAACGTGAACACAATCTACAACTGAAAAGAAAGAAAACGAGAACAGTGCGGCTTTCCCATTTATACCCGGCACTGGAGTTACATCATACAATTGCTATCAACCAATGAAATGTTGAATGTGTTGGTTAGCAACAGTACCGGCAAAGAAAATACAATGCGGCAATGCATGTCGCAATGCACTGTGTATTCTGTGCAAGGGTGGTGGGTCACAATGGCCGACTGCTGTGCTAAAGCATTGCAGCAGCACATACATAGAAAATATTCTGGAAACACATAGGAATGAATAAATATATTCAATACATAGAACTACATGAGAATGCATTGAAAAGTCCTAATTTAACAACTTTGTAAATTAATTATAATTAAACCTATTACCGTACGTCTAATCTGATTTTGTGGGATTATAAATAGATAATCCCTCTTTGCTATAATAGGTTTCTGGTGGACCGGTCGAGTTCCGGTCTGTGGGGTTTCGGACAATATTCCCGATGTATGCGGGAATTTGCATAGAAATGATATTTAATTAATTAATAATAGCTAATTGCTTTAGCGTACGTCTAATCTCATTCTATAATTATATATAAGGGTTCTCCCTTCACATTTTTGTATACGATATACACTAGCAACAGAAAGTATCAACATAAGCTATTCCCATTGATTTCAATGTAAAGTGTGTTAAAAGTATTAACATAAAAGTTAAAAAACAGAATAATTATAGTTAAAAGTTACCGATTTTAAAAAATATTTCACCAAGATGTCTGTCCGAATGTTAACTATAGTTTCCAAAAATAATATGGTTAATTGTGACCGCGAGTGCCGATCGCCGCCGCACCGAAAATATGATTTCCCGCCACACACTGTCCAGTTACAGGCCTATAACCGACCCGCACCCCAAACCCCCCATTGAAAAGCATTACGGGAAATGTGTGATGTTGATTCTAGGCCTGTAACTAGACAATGTGTGGTGGGAAATCATTAATCATTATTTCATATGATAGCTAGATAACAAATGTATAAATTCCATGCCATAGACTTTCATGATAATCACTGGTCAGTGCTAGCGGGTCCCGAACCAACCGATGCATTCACTTTAACGCTATTTTCGGTGCGGCGGCGATCGGCACTCGCGGTCACAATTAACCACATTATTTTTAGAAACTATAGTTAACATTCGGACAGACATTTTAGTGAAATATTTTTAAAAATCGGTAACTTTTAATTACAATTAATCTATTTATTAACTTTTATGTTAATACTTTTGACACCACTTTACATTGAAATCAATGGGAAAATGCTATGTTAATATATATAATTTATAGTGTATATCTGGTCAGAGTTCTCGTATAGGGGTATTCGGGTTATATACTCGATATACAGTGAAACATGAACTGGGTTAACCATGAGTTGTGTGAACTAAGGATTTGTATGAACCAATCTTCAAAACATAAACTTGTCTTTTATAGACATAATGTTAAAAGAACATGATTTGTGTGAATATGAACTGTGTGAACTAATAATTTGTGTGAACAAATTGTAGCTAAAATTATGACATTCAATGCATTTCACAATGAGTTGTATGAACCACACAAAATAGCAAATTTATAGTCCAATATAGATGACAGCACTAAAAAATTTTGTACACAAAACGGCTAATAAGTTGTTTATATTTAATAAAACATTAAAACAACAGACAATTACGACTATATCTCTTAAAACACTTATAAATTTGTAATTTAAAATAACATTTATGTATTAAACATACTTTTAGCGCATAATAAATTGTGTGAACTAATGATTTTTGTGAACTAAATGGCCAAATTTGCCAAGATCACCAAGTTCATGTTTTACTGTGTGTGGAAATATGTTTACAAGTGCAACTTAGTAATTCAATAACGGCTAATTTCCTTGCCGTACGTTTCTCTCATTGTATAATTATAATCTCTTATATCTGGCCTCAAGATCCATATGATTCACATATATAGTCTGAGTTTCCGTCTGGGGCTTATCGGGTAATGTTTATGTTGTTATAGCTAAAAGTATGTTATAAGCCATGGTTTTAATTAGTTTATAATTAACCCTTTAACCGTGCGTCTTAATTAATCTTATAAATCGAATCCCTAATGTCTAAGCTTTAAAATGATAGGTCACACTTGTGCGTCCGGAGTTCCGGTCACGGGGTTTTCGAGTGTTATAATCGGTTCGGGTGTTCATTATTGATATCTCCTTATGTATTGAATCTTAAAAGTAATCTAGTTCTCATATATCTACTATTAGTAGTGTATCTCGGTAACATATATGACTGTCCAGACCATCGGGCGTTCCGGTCTGGTCGGTTCGGGTCACTACCCCAATAACGATCATGTTAAGTGTAGACATAGTAAGACTTCCGCCTCACAATGAATACACAGTACAAATTTAATTAATAATAATAAAGAACATAAATTATTGTATTAGGTCAATTTAAAACCTATTCGTATTTCTCATGTATTTAAAATTATGAAGTGATATTATTATTTAAATTTATATTTAAAATTTTTAATAATAGTGGTCAATTCGGTTAACCACAAGGTCGTCTGGTCAAATAAAAGATACCAAGATACTTTCTACAGAGTGTACTTTCTGTTTATAACAATAATTTCCGGTTGCATTCTGGTCATTATTTAAAAATTATTATTTAATTTAATGTGAAAAATAAGGCTAATACTTAAAATATATAAATTACAACAACAAAAAAAACAATTCCCATTTTTATTAATCTTACTAATACTAAAATTTTGTAAATTTGAGCGACAAACGGATATATAGTTTTTTTCCTCTCCCAACGCCTAACAACAATCATTTCATCATAAGCTAAAACGTTACAACAATAAATTTTCATTTTCTGACGCACGCGCTGTGGACTCGTAAATTTGTAAATAAGAAATATCACTAAAAAATAAGTTACTTAGATTACTTTTAAAACTGCTAATGATTTATGGCATGGTACCTCAGGTGGAACACATGTGAGTTGCATACCACCAATAAAATAGAGTTGCAGATTGGCTTAACAGAGTGACCATTTAATGAATGTAGTAATGGAACCTTTGCATAGGTGGTAAGTCCAGTGGTTTTTATTTTCCACCTCAAAATGTACGTAGTTTACAATAAAATTTATTAATCAATTTGTAAATAATAAATATTAATAAAGAAAAATAAGATACTTAGATTACGTTTAAAACTACTAATGATTTATGGCATGGTACCTCAGGTGGAACACATGTGAGTTGCATACCACCAATAAAATTGAGTTGCAGATAGGCTTAGCAGGGTGACCATTTAATGAATATAGTAATGGAACCTTTGCATAGGTGGTAAGTCCAGTGGTTTTTATTTTCCACCTCAAAATGTACGTAGTTTACAATAAAATTTATTAATCAATTTGTAAATAATAAATATTAATAAAGAAAAATAAGATACTTAGATTACGTTTAAAACTACTAATGATTTATGGCATGGTACCTCAGGTGGAACACATGTGAGTTGCATACCACCAATAAAATTGAGTTGCAGATAGGCTTAGCAGGGTGACCATTTAATGAATATAGTAATGGAACCTTTGCATAGGTGGTAAGTCCAGTGGTTTTTATTTCCCATCTCAAAATGTACGTAGTTTACAATAAAATTTATTAATCAATTTGTAAATAATAAATATTAATAAAGAAAAATAAGATACTTAGATTACGTTTAAAACTACTAATGATTTATGGCATGGTACCTCAGGTGGAACACATGTGAGTTGCATACCACCAATAAAATTGAGTTGCAGATAGGCTTAGCAGGGTGACCATTTAATGAATATAGTAATGGAACCTTTGCATAGGTGGTAAGTCCAGTGGTTTTTATTTTCCACCTCAAAATGTACGTAGTTTACAATAAAATTTATTAATCAATTTGTAAATAATAAATATTAATAAAGAAAAATAAGATACTTAGATTACGTTTAAAACTACTAATGATTTATGGCATGGTACCTCAGGTGGAACACATGTGAGTTGCATACCACCAATAAAATTGAGTTGCAGATAGGCTTAGCAGGGTGACCATTTAATGAATATAATACTGGAACCTTTGCATAGGTGGTAAGTCCAGTGGTTTTTATTTCCCATCTCAAAATGTATATAGTTTACAACACAAACAATGGCTGATCAACACAACGGCCGCACATTTATTAAAATCAAAAACATATTGAATGATTTGGGTATAATTAATTATTTACCAACTTTCAAAGGTATATAATTTAACTGACTAATGTGTAGACTTGATTAATTCATAATTATAGCTAGACTGTTGATTCTACAGTATAGGAAATGTAAGTATTAATGTAATGATAGCGCTATCACAACATTAATAACTATTAATAATCATTAATTGTATTTGTATTTAAGAGATCGCTGGTTACCATGATTGGCAATAAACAACATGATCACCAAAGATTTAGATCGTTTTATTGTAATTAAATTGATTGATATGATAACATTAACAATTCAATCAAATTGTGATAATATTTGCACACTTTTGTATTTGAATTTTGATGTATAAGAATCAATTGTATTTATTATATTGTAATATCAGTAAACAACAATAAATAACGTTTATAAATTGATTTTACTAATCTTTATTAATTTTTATACTAGCATTAAATGGTTTTTTTATTAGTCTTGGTTCAATTAAATATTCGCCTTGAATCAATTTTATATGAATCTCTGCTCGTCTTTAAAATACAAGTTATAACTGATATATTAGTCTATACTCTTAGATAGTCTTTATTTTTTGGGAGTAAAAACACTGAAATTCGGACGGGAATCGGGAGTATAAAATGGTCAAATTCGGGAATAAAATCGGGAACAAAAACCTAAAAAATTAATCATGTAAATGTAGTTATTGGGTATTTTTGTCGCTTAACAATAAGTTATAGATTGTATTAAAGTGAATTTCATTATATTAATCTGTAATTAAGCGATAAAGTAATTTCTCAAAATCGGGTTTTTATAGATCTTGCTAATTTTGAAATATATGTGATCATGAAATCACAACATACTTTTAATATTGCCATCATAAATGTGTTAACTCGTATTATAATTAAAATTATATCATATTTAATGCCAACATTAATTAGATTTTATATCTAAAAATGCTAAATTCTTTATTATTTTAAATAAAAAAGGAGTTTTCGGACAAATCGGGAATAAAATGGGCTAATCGGGAGTTTTCGCAAAATATGCCAAAATCGGGAAAATTCGGGAAAATAAAAATGATATATTTTGGAGCCTTTATAACTTTCGAGACTAATGGGGTGTTATTCCCGAGTATGCAAGTAACTAAATTTAATCGGGAATTCCCGAAAAATAAAGACTACTCATAGATTTGTGAGTCAACACTAGTACGCAAATATCCCAAAATTATTAGCAGCCGCTAGAAAATAAACCAGTTGTACCTGATTACTTTGTAGAGTGTAAGCCAATTAATTCCGCCCTTTTGTGTGCCTTTGGTTGACGCCAGAGAAGTTGTTGAAGCGATGGAACCGCTGGTGACTAGTGTTGTATAGTTAGTGCCGATTGTTGTATCGTTAGAGGCTGTGAAGGCCGTATCGTTAGTGACAGTTGTCATACCATTAGCACTGGTAGTCGTATGGCTACCGCCGGCTGTCGTACCCATAGTAGTGGTCACATCTTTGAAACATTGGCCGTAAAGTGGTTTTAGTTTATCGGATGCACACATTTTAGAGGGTAACTGTTTGGGCCCTACTATACACATCATGGGCCGATTGGTCACGTTAAACAAAATCATATGATCGCTGTATTGCTGGCCACCACTGGCCCTAAAATCGGCGACACTCACCACTTGTGCCCACATTTGGTCACTAAAATCTGAAACAAAATTGAAGGCCGTATTCCTGTAGTCACGATTGGCCGCCCCATACGTCCAGTCACTTCCCGCCGCTATCACATTAATGGCGCCCCTATTGGTGCGATTGACCATGGTCACGTACGCGTAATCACCCGTCGGCACAGACATAAACACTAGATCTTCGGCACTCATAGTACCCGTCAACGAGTTCTTCGGCGGATTACTCTTGTCTTTACACGTATACTCTGTCGGTGTGTTTGCATTCACTTCGCACTCCATTAGTGTTATCTCTTTAACGAGAGCATCCGGGCTAACCTGACTCGTCGATGCGATACTGAATTTGAGTAAAGTGTCGGCAGATTTAGTGGTGAGAGTGCCGTTCCTATAGGTGCCCGACGCGTGGTGTTCCCACTCGTGAGTCCGGGTGTAGACCATGAGCTGTCCCTCAACGCGTCCGGCAGTGCTGTCCACACTTTTCTTGCTATACAGCCGAATGTCATCGTATTTACCATTGAGTAAAACCACTGAACAAATGTCTTGACATCGCATCTGTTGGCGACTGAGAAGAATGAGTATAAGTATTACAAACATTGTGTTTTGCAATGATTTCTATACAATATTATCGTTTAAATTCATTGTTTTACTGAATTTGAATTTATTTCAAAAATGTTTGTTTCATTCATTTCTCGTGTGATTTCCATAAGAAATTATTAAATAAATTTTTAGCATTATTTTTATCCAAATTCTGTCTCCGAAATTATAAACATTAAATTCTGTAAACATATCACAAATTGTAATCATCTCTTCAAATAAAGTCAACCAATTTTCACATAAATAAAAAAATTATTGAGATATAAAATACACATAAAATAAAATTTTTATAAATTCTGTAAAATTTAATAAAATACAAAATCCTTAACATTTACATTGAAATGATGGTCACATTTAACTATTTTTGGTCTAAACATGGGATCTGAGTGTTGGGTGATCTTTGAGCTCCTTTTCATGTCCGCCCTTTTGTGACACACTTTGTTTCGGACCAACAGATGAATGATCGGAGACGTGAACAGGAGGTCCAGCGGTAGCGGAGATCGGATGCTGTCCAGAGGCGGCCGACACAGAATGGTGTCCAGCGGTGGCCGACACCGGGTAATGTCCAGAGGTAGCGGCAATCGGAGTCTTCCCAGGGATGTGAACGGGTGACGGAGCAGCTGTGGTGCGACCGATTGGACCGTCCTTTTTGTCTTTACCGGACGATTGTCTGCATTTACAGCATATTATTGTCACACAAACGGCGAGACATAACAACACAATAATAATAATGATGACAATTATAAGCCAATTAAATCCACCCTTTTGTTTGCCTTTGGTTGGCGCCAGAGATACTGTTGAATTGGCTGAACCTTCAGTGACTGGTGTTGTAGTGTTAGTAACATTAGTGGCGGCCGTAATAGGGTTTAAACATTGGGCGTACAGTGTTTTCAATTTATCGGGTGTGCACTTGTCTTTGGGCACCTGTCCGTAAGCAACTGTACACATCTTGGGCTCTCCCGACACGTTGAACAGAATGGTGTGAGCCTTATATGTATGGCCACCGCTGGCCATCACTTCGCCGACACTCACCACTTGAGACCACATTTCGTCCGTAAAATTGGTCACAAAACTGAGCGCTTTATACACGTAATCGCTATCCGAGGGATTGCCGCCAGACGTCCAGTCGCTTCCCTCGGATATCACCTTAATGTCTGTCCTATTAAGTCGATTGACCTTGGTCACGTACGCGTACTCCATCTTTGGCACCGACATGAATACCAGATCGTCGGCATTCATAGCACCGGTCAGTATCTTCTGCGGGGGATTACTCTTGTCTTTACACGTATAGTCCGTGGGTTGACTGGCAATCACCTCGCAATCCAATAGGGTTACAATCGGTGGATTCGCTTTACTGGTCGAAGCGATGTTGAATTTGAGTAAAATATCTGCCGATTTAGTGGTGAGAGAGCCGTTCTTATAGGTGCCCGACGCGTGGTGTTCCCACTCGTGAGTCCGGGTGTACATCATTAGGTGACTCTCAATCCCTCCGGAAGTGCTGTCCACCTGTTTCTTGCTATACAGGCGTATGTCATCGTATTTGCCGTTTGACGCGACCACTGAACAAATGTCTTGACATCGGATGTGTTGGTGACTGAGAAGAATGAGTGCAAGTATTATAAACATTGTGTTTAAGAAATCGGTTGTAAAGTTAGGCCATAATTGAAGCTAAACTCATATTATAAGCAAATGTATTGTTTAATGATTTTAAAATTCACGCTAAATAATACATAATTAATGTATAAAAATTAAATGATTTTATGAACATTTTTGATAAACACAATCAATTTGAACATAACTTTTAGTAATTTTATAAAAATTAATGAAATGGAAAAATACAACAATAGGTTTGGTTAATTTAAAAACATTTAACCGTTAATTGTATTCGTAATTACTATACAGTTATTAACCGTCAAATGTCTTCTTCTACAGCAAATATGTTGGATATGACTCAATATCGAAGACATTATCATAACATTGAGAAGAATCTATTTTTAGGAGACCTGAAGTTCGCCACCAATGCTGAAGAATTAAAAGCGATGGCCATTAAAGTGATTGTATCAGTGATTGACTTCACTTTCAATGAGACAAAGGGCTCCGGCATTACGTACTATCAGTTCCGAGTGGCCGACAACGAGAACGAAGACGTGTTGACTATATTTCCCGAAACCAATCGGATTATCAGCGAATGTCAGGCAAAGAACAGGAATGTGTTGGTTCACTGTCAGGCCGGCGTCTCCCGCAGCGCATCGGTTGTCATCGCGTATCTCATGTCTAAATACCGGAAACCATTCGCCGAAACCAAGACTAAGGTCAGTGCCATTCGCCGAAAGATAGCTCCGAATCCCGGTTTCGTTCGGCAACTGATTCTCTACGAAGAACTCAATTTCACGATCTCTGCCAACAATCGTAAAGTGAGACTACATTTACTCCAAACACTGTTTCTCAACGCAAACATCAGTTCAATCAGTGATCGCTATTTCCCGAGACTGGCGGCCGTCGAACGCATGTCACCCAATCTGATCCCCGGAAAGCCCTTTCTGTGCGCCAAATGTGGGTTCACTTTGTGTTACGAAATAAATGTGATTAGAAATGAGACAATCGGTGGCACGACGTGTGGTATCGTCTATATTGAGCCCCAAAACTGGATGCGACAGAAGATTGCGGATCTGTTTGCGGCCAAGAGTTTCCCCAAACAGGCTCTTCACATGTCGTGCAATTGCGGCGAAGTTGTGGTCAACTTTAAGGATCAATTCAAGTCCTATGTCTGCAATTGTCTCATTCATAAACAACTCAATTGTCTGTATTTTCATCTCAGAGCCGATAAGTACAAAATTGGCAAATAATGACCGAAAATATAGTTTTATTCAATTTTATTGTAAAACAAAAAACATGTATTTATTTGAATAAAATTTTCTATTCTTTCAATTAAACAAAAACTTTTATTTTATGGATTGAATATAAGGGCAAAACTGATGCCAAATATCTAAACAGATATATAATTGATTTTATAAATAATCTAATAATGTGCAAATAATTGATACCAATTTATATATAATTAAAAATATGTTTAAATAATAATTGTAATAATTAAAAATGTTTTGGTAATAAACAATTCAATGATAGGCCGGCGCTAACGGGAAATGACTTTCTCTAAAGCCGGAGCCGTGAATGTATTGGCCTTTATTGCCCCGATATCTGTCCAATTCATGCCATCCGTGTCCGGAATGACTGCATTATAAATGACATGATTTAACAATAATGAACACAACGGCCAACACCTGCACAACACATACCGTCCGCGTCCGCCATAAATGTTGTAATTGTTTTGGTCGATGTGTTTGAGGCCATAGTGAGCGCCGTTGTCGACGCTGTGGTACTTCGAGACGTGACCCGATTTGCCGGCGTTGGCCTTCTTGACTGAATTTAGGATAAATGCCGCAAAAGCTAATCATTTATTAATTTTGTTATTGAAATGCAATGCTTTAAACGATATATAAGAGTGAGAGACAAACAAACAATTAAAAGGCACACAAAACAAACTCTGGACCAGAAAATGATAGTAAATTAACACAAAAGACAATTGTTTTGTCACAATGAATGAGACTATACTTTCGAGTTCACGATCCCATTTGGTGTTCCTCTCGTGATCCTGTCCTCTATCCCGAGACCATAGGCTCCTATCGTCGATGCCCTGAGTGTTTGACACACATGTAAGACAATTGTTATTGTAAAACATGTTATTTTGTGGTCAAATCAATTACTTCATAATTGCCGGCGTGGAGGCCGTCGTTGTGTCTGTCGTGATAGCCGTCGGCGATGTCCACCAACTGTTGTTTGTATCCCTGATTGCCGTACTTTTCGTAGTCGCTGTGATGAGCGCCGGCGCCCGTATCCCACAGTTTGTCAAAATTGTCCCAATGATTGGCACCCGAGCCGTGACCCTCGTGTGACACCGGATGCGAGTCTGTTATATAAGTAATGATTTTGAAAATTGATTAAAACATTCAAACAAAATATATTCGTGTTTTAAGAAAATAGTTAATATAAAAAAGTTTGATAAATAATATAATAGGGAAATATATTGCTGACAAACCCGGATGACCGGCGAATCCATGGTAAGGATTATGATGTGTGGCATCGGTTTGCATATCACTCAATATATTGAGTACTTGTTTACTCTCACCCGAGTATTTGTTGTCCACCACCGGATCGGCCGTACATTCACTCCAATCAATACATTTTAAAATATAAATAATGAAAAACAAAAGGTATGATTTCATTACAGACATCACAACTTTGGTGTTTGTATAGCGAAATATAATTTAAAAACTTTTTAAACAACTTTACAAAAACAGTGACAAAAAAGTTGTTTGATTTTCAACAACTGTTACACACTTTAAGATGTGTTTGAATGACAGACTTCTGGATAGAGAGACGGCTTTTAATATAGTATTGCCGTACTTTTCGTAGTCGCTGTGATGAGCGCCGGCGCCCGTATCCCACAGTTTGTCAAAATTGTCCCAATGATTGGCACCCGAGCCGTGACCCTCGTGTGACACCGGATGCGAGTCTGTTATATGAGTAATGATTTTTTAAAAATTGATTAAAACATTAAAACAAAAAATATTTGTGTTTTAAGAAATTATTTAATCAAAGAAAGTTTGAAAAATAATATAATAGCAAAATATAGAGCTGACAAACCCGGATGACCGGCGAATCCATGGTAAGGATTATGATGTGTGGCATCGGTTTGCATATCACTCAATATATTGAGTACTTGTTTACTCTCACCCGAGTATTTGTTGTTCACCACCGGATCGGCCGTACATTCACTCCAATCAATACATTTTAAAATATAAATAATGAAAAACAAAAGGCATGATTTCATTACAGACATCACAACTTTGGTGTTTGTATAGCGAAATATAATTTAAAAACTTTTTAAACAACTTTACAAAAACAGTGACAAAAAAGTTGTTTGATTTTCAACAACTGTTACACACTTTAAGATGTGTTTGAATGACAGACTTCTGGATAGAGAGACGGCTTTTAATATAGTCTTAGAGTGGACTCCAATAGGAAGTAAATTATTGTCATTTAGTGTTATTTATATGTAAAGAGACTTTTTCTCACACAAGTTATGGACACAATCAGTGGTATCGCTGAACGAAACCCTGTTTTCTTGTCTCACTTTCTCGTCATATAATCTTTAAAGTAATGAAAAAACAATTTTCCTTTTGTTCTCCAATTTATTTGATTGTATTTTTTCATTACTTAAGCGATAATCCGTCGGATTTCTTGGCCTAATATCTCGCTATATATCTGACATTTAGCCCTAAACTACTTAATAGTTTACGGAAATTATGAATAATTAATGCATTGATATATGGATTTGATTTAATTGTAAAATATATGAAACCATTCGTATTAAATGAAACCATTGGGTATTTATTGAGATCGGGGTTTGATTTGTATTTATGACATAAATGTGATATTATTTCATATTTTTAATGTACTGTATATAACATGATGTATGTCCTAATCTTTAAGTTAAATTATGGTTAGATTTAAAAAATTATATTTTTATAAAGAAAATAATGGTTACACTAAACTAGTGTTTAATTTAAATAAAATATCAAAACTAATATTATAAATATTTTGAATGCTATAAACCGCTACAATAAGTTGCTATAGTTAAAATATGTTGATTATTTAAGTTCAAAACTTATGTTTGTAAATGTTTTCAATTTATTGCATAATACTGTACACACTGTAGGGCCAAACAAAACATATTTATTTTTATTGTTAATACAGGTTATTATTTAAAAGAAACTTTGATAACAATTATAAACTAATATTAAGACCGTTTGTTGTAATTGTCAATCAAATGCCGATAATTTATAAACTATATAAAGACTATAAGAGAGCCTAAAACTAAAAAATATTTTTGCACTTTTAGAAATCAAATAACGAATTGTAAGTAAAGCCATATTTAACAATTATAAATGTCAATTTGGTCTAATTATGTTTATAACTTGTTCATTACAATGTTAATTACTTTAAAGTTAAATTAAAAATTTACTTATTAAAGTAATTCTTTATGAAATAAATATATAAAGCAAAATATATGCCATTCGTTTGCAGCCAACAAACAATGCGTGTAGTATTAGTGGCGGCAATAATAATGGGCGCGTTTGGTATGTTGTCGGCCGACGACATGAATGACATGGCTTTGGGCGACGATAGACAGGGCGGCTCGACATGCAGCGCAGCACTCGTCCAGTCGTGTTTGGTAGGCATAACAGTGCCGGCACTGCTCACAACAGTGGTCAGTCTTGTGGGCGCTCTGCTCAACACTTCGGGCAGTAACACCTTGTGTTACGTAGCGATCCCCGCATTACTGGGCAGTCCGTCGTGCAATGTGTTACTGCAATGTCCGTTGTTTGCCGCGTGCGTTACGGCCAGGATTTGTCCGCGTATTTCAACGCCCACTTTATCATCAGTTTTACAGTGGGTCGGGAATCTGTTGGCACAAGTGGTCAGTTTGTTGCGAAGCATATTGGGTGCTTCAAATGGCGGTACAGTCACGTGTGCCAATTCAGGTTTTGGAGGCTAATCGGCCACTAAATTGTTTTTTAAAAATATTCCGGAGGTTTTTAATGCAGAGATATTTATTTTTTTGCTGATATTTAATGCTTTTTCCCTCCGTTTGTCTGTATTTTTAATTATTATTATTTATTTATTTCCACCATTTGACGTATGTGTAATTTTATATGCATTTACTGATAATTTATTATATTATGCTCATAATTTCAATAAATAATTAAATCGGCGTTTTAAAATTTTTTGAAAAAAAATAAAATTAAAATGTAACTATTAATAATAATTATTTTGCATTCCGATATACTATATAAGATAAATAAGGGTAAATATATTCTTAGGGGGGATTCATTTGGATTCATTTTGGTGCATGTGTGATTACAAAATTGACCAGTACACGGACTTCTCTAACCATTTGCCGATTTTTTCTCTTAAACACACATTAGTGTTGCTAATCGTGTGTTATTTCAAATCGTGAATTAAAGCGTGTAAAAAATTTTCATGTGGCACGAGTAGCACCACTAATACACATCTATTACATTTTGTAACCATTTTGTACATTTTAATACCAATATCAATAGGATTTGTCATTTGCACCAAAATTAGTTCCCTTTTTAACTAAATTTATTTACACAAATCTTAATTTATTATGGTAAATTCAATGTTGAACAATAACTCCATTACAAAACTTAAATACATAAATGAATAAATATATAACAATAGTTAACAACAAAAATACAATGTAATAAGTTTGCAAACAAATGTTTTTTGTTGTTGAATTAAATGTCAATCAAATTAATAAAATTTATAAATATCTGTAAAACTAATTTATAAGTTAAATAAACTGTTGGATGTGAAGTGTGCTGTTTGAATTTATTTTATATTGATTGATTTAATTATAATTTAATTAATATTACAAAAATCTGTTATATTTCAATAGAAACTGAACTAACGATGAAAGGGTTGTCAATAAAGATGATAATTGTGGCCATATTTATGGCACTCTTAGCCACTGAGTTGGCGGTGGGCCGACACAGTCGCCAGAAACGGGACTTATGTCCACAGTATGTGAGTAACTGTCAAACAAACATACCTACGATCACATACAATGCCGATATGACGGGTAACCCCACGTGTCAACAACTAGTTCAGACATTACTGGCTAACGAGTGTTATAATGTGGCGGCTATGTGTGAATCGGAAAATAGTTGGATTGTAGACCATTCCTCGTGTCCGACCACTTTGAATGGACTCACATCGGGACAAATTAGCGCCATAGTTGTGTCGGCCCTCCAATCAGGCCTAACACAGTGTATGGCTAGTAATAACTGTTATGAGTTGGACGATACAGACAACGGCGGTGACAGTGAAGTGGCCGGGTGATTCGCGACAACCATATGTCCCATTATTTTTACACATAAACCATTATTTTTCTTTGGGATTCTTTTAATTAAAGTATTTATTTTAATACAAAATAAATTTTTTTGTAATATTTATTCAGAAAAATCAATCTAATAACAGTTGTATTGGAAATATTTATTATAATTATTTTGTTTTAAATTAAAATGAAATTGTTTTGTCGTTATTGCAAATCCATTATTAAAATCCATGTCCTATTGTAATGTAATGTAGGGAAGAGACAAACATTATATAAGTGAATGTATAAAATCTGTATTATAGATGGTATGGAATTTATATAAAATGGTAAAAATATCACATTATGTAATACTGTTGAGCCTTTAACCTGTTGAGCCCAAATCAGTAATCGTTAACTAAACTGTATTTTATATTCTGGAGGATTTTAAACAGAGATATTTATTTTTGCTAATATTTAATGCTTTTTTCCCTCCGTTTGTAATTTCAATTACGATTCAATGTACTCTATCTGATTTAATATATTTTATATAATCATAACTTCTATAATAAATGATCAAATCATTCTTTTAAAATGTTTTATTGAACAAAGAAAAGTAAAAATTTTAATAATAACGATCAATATATAAATGATCATGAATAAATATATTTGTAACTAAATTGATTTAAATAATTGTTAACTTATTTATAATATGTAATCATAACTAATTATACTCAATTTTCAAATAATTCTAAAAAATGTTTAAGTAATTAAAAAATATTTTAAAAATTTATTCAATTATTGTATTAAATGTTATAATTTTAGTTTTGATACAAACCGGTCATTCACTTTACTTTTAATAAATTCTTTTGTTTTATTAAATTTAAAAAATGTTTTTTATTTTACACAAAATATGTTCATTTAGTTATTGTTTCAAATTTTAAGTATTTTTTAATACAAAAAACTTGAAAAATAATTTATTGTATAATAAATGTTGTGTCAATCAATTGATTGCAAAATAATATGTAATTTTGGTATAAAAGTCTCAAAATATTTTTAAATTATTTTTGTAGAATTTCATTCTTAAAATTAAATTATTTATATAAAAAATATTAATTTATTGAATTGTAATTTTTTGGTGAGTTAATTTTAATACAATTAATCATGTTAAACAATGTTTTGCATAACAATAATCTTAATAATTATATAATTAAAACATTAATACATTTTAACACAAATAATTAATTAATAACTTATTACTACAACAGTTGTCGACCCATCGGAACAAAAACAATGTCAAACTTATTGAAGCACATAATAATCTTTGGTGTGATTAACGCCATCTTTGCCATACATTTGGCACAAGAGTCGGGCCAAGAATCGATGCCACGGGAGAAGAGGCAGACAATTAATCCGACCGCATGTGTGACGGCATTGAGCGGTTGTCTAACGGGCACCGGCGGCGCGGCTACCAATTTGGTGATGACAGTGTTCAGACAGTTGATCACTCAGGGCACTAATGTGAGCTGCACTTCGTTGGCCAGTTTGTTAGATACATGCAATTTGAGCGGCTGTGGCATCCCTTTGAGTACTGTACTCACGCCCACCAATTGTTTGGTGACCGCCGTATGCAATACGCTTAACACATTAAAAGCGACTAATCCAACCACGGTCCTATTCACTTTGCCCTCAACTCTTGTGAGCACAGTGACCAGTTTGTTGGGCGCTGTCGGATGTCTGGCCACACTAGCCGGCGGCCGCTGATCATACAAGCCGTCCAAATGTGGAGGTTTTTTAATGCAAAACTATTGCCCAAATCAATTGGTTATGCTTTTTCCTCCTATGCTTTTGTTTCGGTTATTATTATTTGAGTGAAAATTTCTGTTTATTTATTTTAATTTATTTCTCAATCTATTGCAATGTTTTATATATTTATATCAAATTAATGTACAAATTGATTAATTCTCAAAAGTGTAAGAAATAAATTTGATAACCGATACTAACATTTCTCTCATTATTTGTGCCATAATTAATACCTATTAGATTACAGGCCATAATTACAGCAAAATTCCTTTATTATAAACCAATACACATAATGTTATACTTTTAATTTTGAAACAAACCGGTCGTTGACTTATTCTTTAAAAATTCTGTTCTTTTATTAATTTTTAATAATGTTTTTAAATTATAAAAAATATGTTTATTTAGTTATTGTTTCAAATTTTTAATATTGTTTTTATAAAAACCTAAAAATAATGTATGGTATAATACTTGTTGTGCCAAATCAATTGATAGCACTATAATAGCTAATTTTGTATAAATATATATTAAAAAACGTTTATTTCTGCAGAATTATAAAATATTATTTATCGAGTTGTAATTATTGGTAAGTAAATTTTCACAATTAAATTTAATAGTCATTAATAAAAAAATTAACAATAGTACTTTATATACTCTATATAATTTGATTATAACTGTATGCATACATAATTAATAAATATTTTATAATTACAGGACTTGTGAACAATCAGAACAAAAATAATGTCAAACCTATTGCCACACTTAATAATATTCTGTGTAATTAACGCAATCTTTGCCATACATTTGGCACAAAAATCGGGCCAACAATCGATGCCACGGGAGAAGAGACAGACGGCGCCCGACCCGACCGCCTGTTTAACCGGACTCGTCAACTGCTTATCAGGCTTTGGCGCCGGTAGTAGTGGTTTGGGTGCAATACTCACACAAATTATGGACCAAAAACAGAGTGTCAATTGCACTGTCGTGAGCACATTGTTAACGAGTTGCAAATTAGTCTCCTGTGGTATCGATATGAACACCGCATTACTGCCGGCCAATTGTCTGGCGAACGTCACGTGCAATGCGTTGAACAGTTTAAAGGGAATCAACATGTTCAATATGTTTATGATACCCATGCAACTTATGAATGTATTGGCTACCGTTTTGAATTCAGGCACATGTCTCAACACAACAGCCCCCGCGAGTTAATACAAGCTCTTAATTTTGGAGGTTTTTTAATGCAAAACTATTGTCTAAATCAATGGGTTATGCTTTTTCCTCCTATACTTTTGTTTCGGTTATTATTTTATTAATAACATTACAATTACTGTAATTTATTCTTAAATCTATTGCAAGTATTGTCTAATGTTTAATATATTTATATAAAATTAATATGAAAAATACATTTTTCAAAATTGTCCAAAATATATTTGATAACCAATACTATTATTGCTGTCATTATTAATAACTTAATTAATAGATATTAATTATTGTAATTACAGAAGTATTTTATTAGTAAATAGTTTTGTTGTAAATTTTGTTATAGTTTTTATAAAACAAACTTTTACACAGATATAAAAGTCAAACTTTATTATTTAAAAATATATAATTTAACAAAATATTTATAACAATTTTAAATATAAAATAATGACTAGAATTATATATTTATTATTAAAAACAACTATATTTTGGGCCGATTTATAGTCCACTAAATCATAGGATAGTTGTAATACATGTCCTCTAATTAATAGAGATAACGGGTATTGAATGGTAATAACTGGCGACTGATTGTTGATTAGAGTGACCACTCGTATCAGTTCTCTATGGCATTGGTTTAGTTGCGATATCGTCGGCGATATGGCTATCGGTCTCACCATTAATACGAGATATCCGTCAAAATCCAAATGAGTGAACGATTGGCAGCCATAGAGTCGTATCAAATGTGACAAATGTTTGGCCAACTCTTCAACAGTGACGGCATAATTGACCATTTGGTGCCTCTCTATGCGGTCGATAGCGTTGGTCTCGTATTGGAGTTTAGCGACAGATCCGCAAAATTGACAGCAAGTGTATTGAAGACTGTGTCGGAAGTGTTGGTGCGGACAATAAGCCTGTAGTGGACACTGGATGTGATGACAATCGTTGGTGTGATTGCACTTTGAATAGTAGTCGACGGGAACCGAATGCGAGAGCGAAACGCATTCCGATTCATATGTTTGGCCATTCATTGCACAGACGGGTCCCGAAGAGGAACAGTAGTACTAATTTACAAAATAATAATTTAGTTGTTGTAATAGAAAATTAATTTTAAACATAATTACCAGACATTTTCCATAATATGCAAACTTTTGTTTCTTTTTCAAAAGCCAGCATAGATTCTGATGATTGACACCATTTGTATCGCAAACAGGGTTTGTGCCAAACAATTGACAGTCCATCGGATCCGCTATGCATTCGTATTGAGGGCAATGGTCTGATGTGAGACACACTTGACTTTTCTTAATACATCTGATAATAGAAAACATGAATTAATAATTGATGTAAATTTAAAATGTAAATTATTTTCAGCAATACTTTTGATTTTGATTGCATTTAACGCATTCAACAATTGTATCACAACTTCCGTCAACGTATTCCTCATCGGAAAATCCATTGCATTTGGCGTAACAGTAGTTGGGATATGTCTGGCCATTGATGGCACAGACAGGATACAGATCTTCGTCACACTTCTCTATGCAATCACTAAATCATACAAATGTTTGCATTAATTTAAATGCATATTAATATTTTAAAATAACAATATTATACCTATGAATACACTGTAATTTAGTATTAAAACAAATGCAATTTTTGTTATCAATACTGAATTGTGTTAAATGTGTTATATTTTTATCATTTATTTCGCAGTCTTTGCGAAATGTTTTGTCGCAGACTTTAAGACACTCAATGAGACGACCTCTGGGCCCACATTTGCACATATGGTGGCACTCGTCCGTCCCGTCCAACAGCTTCACAATAGTGTCAGCCTTTACGAGAAATGGCGAGATTTCACCTAATAATTGAAAAATATTAATTTCATTACATTAAACACTAACGGAATTAATACTAACCCAACCGACAGGCGCTCACACATCGAAACGGTAGGCAATGATTAGATATACAATTACTGTTAACTAAACACAATTGATTGGGCGAACAGGGATTGGGATTACAGGGGTTTATAAGTACATTCGTTGTCTCGACGCCAGTCTCGTCGGTGTTTTGGTTTGAATTGAGAAATGTTTTGATATCAATACAGTTTAGCGTATCGTTTGTGGATATGATGTCACATATGGTCTGTGCGGACAGTAGTGTAGACGGAATGCGATTCTCATCAATGCATTCGCTAATGATATCAATACACGAAGACCTGTGGAGTGAGACCGAGTTGTATTAGATCGTGATTACTATTGGCGAGAATAATACGGGATATAATACCTGCATATATTGTTAAAGTGGTTATTCTCTAAACAGGGCTTCACATGAATACTACATGCGATGAGTTTCCAGAAGTCTGGGTAACAATTGTCGACATTCTTGACGGGAATCTCAATGATATTGAAGTGAATGACTCCTCTCATCCACGACTCAAAGTCCTCTTTCGCCTCCACATCTGATTTGGCGTCACATTTACGGTACAACTGATTGTATCGGTTGTTAAATGTATTGCAAAACTCGAGTGCCTGACACCCAGACTGACAGACGCCCTCCACGTCATCCAAACACTGGATTAGATTTGCTTCTTGTGGTGAGTATTGACAGATGCGGTCGAATTGATGCCAATTCTCTAACCATTGGTCGCTCCATGTCTTGTAATTTAAACATACAATTAATTAATCAAAATATATTATATACAGAATATTCTGAGATTTAGTTTGATGTCAAATTGAGAGATGGCAATCACTACGAGGTAATGTGTTTTATGAAAACAGTATATTTTTTGATAGATTTTATACACTTTTGGCATTTAAAATGACACAAACCATAAAATTTTCAATAAATATAATGAATAATCTAATTAATGCACTAATTATAGTGTTTTATCCTATTCTGCAATTAATACCAGTTAGAAAAATATGACACTTTTGATTACGTTAACTACAAATTTCGTAATATTGTACACTATGTATTACTTTATTATAAGTTAGTATAACAAAACAAATTGTGATAGTTTTGTGCTAAATCTGTTGTATTGTTTTATTTATATGAAATAAGTTTTAGTGATTTATTTTAGTTTTGTATTAAATTGAATATTATTTATAGATCTAATTGATTAGTTGCGACAAAAACAACGATTTATACAGAATTGGGAAATGAAAAAAATAAGACACAAATCAATCGATAGATGCCTTACTTTGAGACACAAGTGACGACAGGTGTGGGACTTGGCTTTCGCACAGCACATGAGTTTTGCCGAATCCATACCAAATCGATACCGAGGTTTGGGATGTGTTGCCGATGACGGCTGCGATGCCAGCGATGACGACAATTGCGATAATAAATCAGTCGATTGTCTCCTTTCTGTCGCCTTTCGACTACTCTTTCTATGGTTTAGATTTCCATTTATATTAAGATTTTTGTTATCATTTCGTTTTAAAACATTTTCATTCAATTTGTGTTTTTTGTCGACCACTGAAACCGAGTGCGAGAGTAGACACTGCCAGAGGCCCTCCTATTTGGACATAGATTTTCATATTATAACCACAAATATATCATAAATGTTATAAATGTTTAAAAATATTTTCAATAAAAAAGCGTTTATTAGAAAATATTTTGCGGAAAATGTTTTTTAGTCAAAATTCAATTTCGCAAAGAATTGGATTTTTTCTTTTAAATAATATATTTTTCTAAAAATTACTTTTGTTTTTGTATTTCATTGGTTTTGGTTTTGACATATAAGCCATAAATTAAAGCATAATTTGAATACAATTTTCTGTGTTTTACATAATATGAAAGAACAGATGAACCATAAGTTTTGTGATGTTTTCACTCATAAATGCAAATTCAAAGAAATAATTTTATATTTTTGTTGTTGTGTTTCGTATATGAATTCGTTATAAACATATAATTTATAGTTATTTACAAGAAATAAAAACAATACATAATATATTTAACTAAAATTATATTCAGATTCATATTTCTCTCTATATTTGTAGTTAAGTCTGTATTTCCAAACAATTTAATGATTCAGCAAAACGTTTCTTAACTTTATTTCTTTTAAACAGATTATTGTCTTTAAAATTCTAGTCATAAACTCTACTCTTTTTTCTCTCTATTTTCCGACTCTTTATTGTCATCTCTTTTAACATTTTAGACCAATTTCTAGATTTTAAGTTATAATACTTGAGACTAAATTTTACAAAGATATATCATTCTCTATACAGGCAAATGTAAGTCTAGTTTTAATGTATTAATAAATTACATTCAATTTATATATATTTGACAATTTTATTTAATAATTTACAAAAATAAAAATAGTTTTATGTTATTATTGACTTA